CAGAAAAAGCTGTGCTGCATCTGATCACGCGGTCGCCAAATATGTTCTTGAACCGATCCGCGTCGATCCCGCCATATGCCTCCAGCCTCTCCAGGGCGTGGTTCACCCAATCGAAAGAGTCGTCGAGAGACTGCACTTGCCGACGCAACTCACCATGGCGAACGCTCTGTATATCTGTGAACGCGGGCCTAGACAACATAGTGCGCAGGCGTCCCTGACAAAAAAGGAACCAGCTGCGCTGGGCAGGCTGACCTCAGCCATGAATCGGCAACGGAACAAACACCGATGGGAGGAGCCCCAAACGCACCAAGTTCGGGGAACCCCCCAACGTATCATCACCACGATTTGCTCACATGGTTGGGGGGAGTCCCCAACGTGCCCCGCACGCCATCACAAGGTTGGGGGGAACCCCCCAACGTGCCATCCCCAAGGTTGGGGGGAGCCCCCAACGTGCCACCCCCCAAGGTTGGGGGGAGCCCCCAACGTGTCACCCTCAGGGTTGGGGGGAGCCCCCAACGTGCCACCCCCCAAGGTTGGGGGGAGCCCCCAACGTGGCACCCCCCAAGGTTGGGGGGGGCCCCCAACGTGCCACCCCCCAAGGTTGGGGGGAGCCCCCAACGTGGCACCCCCCAAGGTTGGGGGGAGCCCCCAACGTGGCACCTCCAAGGTTGGGGGGAGCCCCCAACGTGCCACCCCCCAAGGTTGGGGGGGAGCCCCCAACGTGGCACCTCCAAGCTTGGGGGCCCCCAACACCCCCCCAAGCCCCAACGTGCCACCCCCAAGTTGGGGGGAGCCCCCAACACCCCCCAAGGTTGGGGGGGCGCCCCCAACGTGCCACCCCCCTTGGGGGGAGCCCCCAACGTGTCACCCTCAGGGTTGGGGGGCCCCCAGCCCCCAACGTGTCACCCCCCAAGGTTGGGGGGGGGGCCCAACGTGCACCCCCCAAGGTTGGGGGGAGCCCCCAACGTGTCACCCTCCAAGGTTGGGGGGGAGGGGCCCAACATGCCACCCCCAAGGTTGGGGGGCACCCCCCAACGTGTCACCCCCCCAAGGTTGGGAGGGGGGGCAACGTGCCACCCCACCACGGTTGGGGGGAGCCCCCAACGTGCCACTCCCCCAATGTTGGGGGTAGCCCCCAACGTGCCACTTCTGAGAGCCCCTTGAACCCCATGGGCACCCACGGCAGTGGACCCCTGGGGAACCCCTGGGAAGCCCCTGACCTTGCCCATTTCCGCGCACCCCTCACGCGGACCACGGGGCCATGCAGCCACAGAGGTGTGCCGAGCCAGATTGGCGTAGGCATCGAGGTATCTGATTGCCGAGCCAGGGTGGCTTAGGCATCGGACGAAGAAGAAGCGGACACACGCAAACGAGAAAGGCCAGTCGATACGAATGCAAGTCCCTTGGGCGCCTATTTTGACGCAACTTCGAGCAGGGCTTGCATGGACCCACAGGGCAAGGATGCATGCTGAATGATGCCGATGCGATATCCTGGGCCCCGCAGCCTCAGAGGTGTGCCGAGCCAGAATGGCGTAGGCATCAAGGTATCTGGCTGCCGAGCCAGGGTGGCTTAGGCATCAGAAGAAGAAGAAGAGGCAACACACAACAGAGAACGGTCGGTCACTACGAATGCGATCCTTTGGGCGCCTATGTTGAAGCTACTTCGAGCAGGGCTTGCATGGACCGACAGGGCAAGGATGCATGCTGAATGCTGACGATGAGATATCCTGGGCCCCGCAGCCTCAGAGGTGTGCCGAGCCAGAATGGCGTAGGCATCAAGGTATCTGGCTGCCGAGCCAGGGTGGCTTAGGCATCAGAAGAACAAAAAGAAGAGGCAACCACACAACAGAGAACGGTCGGTCGATACGAATGCAAGTCCCTTGGGCGCCTATGTTGAAGCTACTTCGAGCAGGGCTTGCATGGACCGACAGGGCAAGGATGCATGCTGAATGATGGCGATGAGATATCCTGGGCCCCGCAGCCTCAGAGGTGTGCCGAGCCAGAATGGCGTAGGCATCAAGGTATCTGGCTGCCGAGCCAGGGTGGCTTAGGCATCAGAAGAACAAAAAGAAGAGGCAACGCACACACGAGAAAGGCCAGTCGATACGAATGCAAGTCCCTTGGGCGCCTATGTTGAAGCTACTTCGGGCAGGGCTTGCATGGACCGACAGGGCAAGGATGCATGCTGAATGATGGCGATGCGATGTCCTGGGCCCCGCAGCCTCGCTGGCCAGTCGGGGGCTCTGCTCGCTGCTGCCGCTGGGGCGGCATCAGGTCAGCACCTCCAAGAGCTGGAGCTGGCTGACCCAGTTCATGCACCGACGACGTCTTCGGCGTCGTCGTCAGTGTCGTCGGCGGTCAGCATCTCCAAGACCTGGAGCTGGCCGCCGAACATCATGCATCGACGACGCCGTCGACGTCGTAGCCGCTGCCGCAACCCGCGGCCATCTGATCAAAGTGCGGCCCCAGTGCCGCCTCACATACTCCACAGAAATACGAAGCATCAACAAAGTTATTCTCATCGAAGAAATCTTTCAGCGCTGTGACGATACGATCCTTGCCCCATCCAGCTTCGAGGGCCAACACTTCCTCAATGCGATCTTGTCCTGCTTTAGAGGATCGAGGAGGAGTAGAGGGCGATGGGGAGAAGGATGAGGAGGAGGAGACTCGCGCTGTTCTACTCCAGAACCGCCACCCTGACAATATAATGATACCAGAGACAAGCCCCAATCATGATCTTTTTAGGGGCTGTAGGGCTGTACGGCTCTGGGGCTATAGGGCTGTTGGGCTATATGGTTATGGGGCTATGGGGCTATAGGCTAGAGGGCTGTAGGGCTATGGGGCTATGAGGCTATAGGGCTGTAAGGCTATACTGCTATAAGGCTATACGGCTATAGGGCTACAGGGCAATAGGGCTCTTTTGCTATAGGGCTACAGGGCTATAGGGCTATAGGCTATAGGGCTATGGGGCTATAGGATTTTAGGGCTATAGGGTATAGGGCTATAGGGCTATTAGGCTATAGGGCTATCGAGCTACAGGGCTACTGGGCACCGTGCACCTGGGCATCCTGAGATCCTGGCGTGCCGCCGAAATCGGCGCCGCAGCTAACGTAACCAATGGACCATGTGAGGCAAGCTCTGATCGGGGAACCAAGGAGGACGAGGAGGAGAGGATTGGGTTGGGGCGATCGGCCTGTCTCAGCGGCCTCATTGACAAGGTCTCGCCCCAGTCGGTCTGAGCATGTAGCGTGGTAGTGCATTCTGCAGTAAGGACAAATCCGTGGATGCACCACCTTTGGGGGGCTCCTCCTCCTCCTCCTCCGCCTCCTCCTGGGGAGCGTGTCGTTTGCTCCTCCGCCTCCTCCTGCTGCTCTCCTCTCCGCCAGGGAGGGAGAAGCGGCCAGGGAGGAGGAGGAGGAGGAGAGGAGAATGACGAGCTCGAGGTGGAGGAGGATGAGGAGGAGGAGGAGGAGGAGGAGGAGGAGGAGGGGGAGTTGTTCCCAGCACGCCTGCACATCGCCATCTGGGCCCCCGATGAACATATCATAGTTCCCACAAATGTCGCAGACGTTGCCCAGCATCTTTCCCTGTGCTGCCACGTACGCCTCTGCAACAACTGGTGATTCACAGTCGTAGTCGTAGAGCGTATTGAACAGATCTCTCAATCTAATGAGCTCCTCTGGGATATCTTCCCTCATGTCCCTCGGCTTCACCATTTGCAAATTAGTAGCTCCCAGAAGCACTCGACAAAGTCCAGCAGCGACCTCAGTGGACAAGTCAATAGTCGTAGCCGGCTGGGCGTAGGACAACTTATTCATCTCTATCTTCAGTGGGCGTCCGCGCCAACTCTCGGTCTCGATAGGAGTAGCGTCCCAATAGTAGAAGCCGGTGCTGTGGCAAAGTGGACTGTCTGGGCAATCTTTTTCAATCGGAATCAAGCGCATGACCAACCCGACGTCGCGTTCTCGTGGAGCACGGTCGCGGAATATACACACGTCCACGGCGTAGGTGCTAAGCCTCACTGAAGAAGACCATTTGACAAGAAACTCATGCAAGTCTGGACGTGGACGATCAGGTGGAGGTGGTAGAGGTGGTTCCAGTGGTTCATCACGACGTGGTTCATTGTCGATGTCGGATTGGAACTTCACATTGAGAGTTGCGTCGACGGCTTCCTCCATGAGACTGCCTGCCTTGTCACTCATAGCGACGTCCACCAACTCAGCAACGTGTTCCAGGTCATTGTTGGAAGATGAAGACAACAAGAACGCGGATGCTATCTTCTCCTCCTCATTGTTGACGTCGTCTTCCTCTTCGCCCTGAAGGTCAACGCCTGGGTCGTCGTACTCTGTCATATCAGCCACAACCCCATCTAGGACTTCACGAGCAGCGCTTTCCAGTTCAAGGTCATCGTCGTGATCAGGGGGTGGTTCGAGGTCGACCTCCTCAACTACTTCAGCTTCTCTGCCGCGACCGCGCCCTCGCCCTCGTCCTCGACGACCTCTACCTGCACGGCCTCTGCGACCGCCGCCTCGCCCACCATCGTCGCTGGAGTCGGAGTCGGCGTCGTCCTCATCACGTCGGCCTCGTCCTCGTCCTCGTCTGCCGCCCCCGCCTCCGCCGCCTCCGCCGCCGCGCCCACCGCGGCCGCGGCCTCGACCGCCGCAGCAACTGCACACCTCCAGGAGGTCAATCTGCCCGAGTGCGTCACTGACCGACGCGGCCTGGTTGGAGCCCAGGTCCCAAGACAGCTGCAACATGCGGATGCTGAGGGACCCGATACGGCGACGTACCGTTGGTGCATCGTCATAATCACCTTCTTCTTCAATAACGCATCTATTGTGCGCTTCACTGAATACTTCTAGCATGTCCTGCATCCTCAGCGGCAAATATATTGCAATGGAACCTAAGCTTGAACTCTCATCAGTGCCCAAATCCACACAGCGTGCGAACCAGAGCGTAGAACGAAACTTCATAGATGGAATCCAACATTCCTCAACGTCCTCGCGCCCGTCGTCTCGAGCGAACCGCATCTGAAGCGCCCACAAAGAAGACCTATTGAACTCCATGCCGTTCTCCCTCAGCAAACGCTTGAGTGAAATAACGAGCTTAGCCGCACACATGTCGTGGATTGAAACAGCTCGGACACTCCAATTGAGAGGGATGCCAGGCAGTGGGAAGTCGCCCGCAGTGACCGTCTTGAACCTCATCACATGATCAGCTGCGACATGTCTCGCATCTTCCAAAAAATCAACGAACGCATCGATGAGGTCCGTCCTCGAAGCAGAGTCCTTGCACAGTAGTAGGCGCTTCTTGAGAACTGTTCTTGCTGACATCAGCTTCCAGCCCAAATTCGAAGATATCTTCGTGCAGTATTTCAGCACCGAGTTGACCCCCTCGATTTCCTGCGTGTCCAGCTTCCACATCTTGAATACGTCGCAGAGGAACTCATACATGCTGAGGGGTAGCTCGCCAGTGCGTGCAGTCTGCACGAGCTCCGCGGCGAACAAACGCCCGAACTTCAACGTCGCCTCATCATTTATATCAACAGGCTCTGAAACCAAGAGATCGTGGGCAACTCGAGCTCGATGTGGGCAAGATATGTGGGGCAGCTCCCACACCATCCACGCCAATCTACGGGGAAATTGCCACGACGGCCGCAAGACACGCCAATGGAAATCCGTTGCCGCTTCCAAGGAGAATTGAACGATCCGCCCAGTCCAATACGGGGCGTCACGATGGCCCACAACATCGAGCAATGGCCTCCACACGTCCATGAACCTGTCATCATCAACCAGTTCGTTGAATTCAGACTCCAAGTGAGATACTTTTTCGCACACCATCTCCACAATGGGTGGCTTCGTAGAGGTGCGCGCGTCACCCTGGCACTTCTGCAGCCAATGCGCCATGTGATCAGTAACAGACCGCGATATGTGGGCGAGGTACAGGTCTCCCCAGAACTGGTCACTGCTGATGTATTCGAGTACTTCCCCCAACCATCGACCAATTCGCTTCTGGTACCCCTCCTCCTCGAAATCCTCGTCGACGTCGGGCACTGCCCCTGCTCCGCCCATCCTCTCTCGAGGCGCCGTGCCCGCCAGAGATTCTGTAAACACAGGCACCAACTCTGACCTTGTCGCGTTCATCAAAAAGTGCTCGGTGCTGGACCCCGCAACGGCCGCGGAGGCAATCGGCCTGCGGCTTCCTTTGCCCGTTTCTCCCCGTGCACCTCCTTGTATTTGCAATGCAGCTTCGATGCGTTGCTGCCAGTTCTCCATACGTTAATGATCTTCGCGAGATTGCCCCAATATCTATCGAGCGAGGCCAATTGCTTTTTCGTGATGAGCGCCATCTCGTGAAGCATGCACCACTGCTGGAACACGAGTGTCAAATTCATGTATCTACAATCTGCTTCTATGAGTCTAGCTGCGGCCTTCTGCTCGCCACCTTGGTCAGTCGTGAAAATCCAAACCGACATGTGAAAGTACTTATTGCCAACAAAGCTGCGGTCACCATCTTGTGGACACCAATCTGCAAGATCGTCACGACCAGCATGCAACGGATGATGAAGCCAATCTCTCGCACCGACGCTGCGCACCTGCTTCAGGTACAGCGCTCTCTGCTCCGCAGCGCCATTGTGTTCTGGGGCTCTCAGTACATCGCTGTAGACACAGTTGATTGCCTTGACTGGTCGAATAGGGTGGTCATCATGATGAAGATGGGGAGGAAGTGGCAAGTGTTCAAAAAGAGTGGACACCTCGCACACGTGAGCCTTCGAGTCGCCGACCTTCGCGTTGGTTGCGTCGCCCCGCACCGAGTGCACCGAGTAGCTGAATGTGCGCACTTCGTGCGGAAGCACACGACGCATGCGATGCATGTGGGCAACGTAGTCGTAGTTAGTCTTGTGCCAGGCCCGAGAAAGACCGAGCACAGCGGCAGCAGACAATAGTTCCCAACGAATAAGAGTCCACCGCGACGTGGGAACTTCAAGGTGCTGCAGGACAGCGTGCGCTCCAGCGTGGCCGACGTTCCTCTTCACAGCCAGAGTAAACCCACCTCGAACAGAAAGAACGTGCTTCTTAGAGCCGACCCTGCGGCGCCTGGATTTGATGATCAACGTCATGTCCTGATAGCTTCTCAAGTAGTCCTCTCCACGTTTTCTGATAGTCATACTTCTTTCCTTCCAATACTTTACTTTCCTCTGGAGGTTGATAATCAAACGATGGGACTCTGGCAACGTAGTCGGTAGTCGCGATCGTGGTGGTTGTCGTGGTTCTCGCCGCCTCTCAAACCAGGAAAGGGAGGAGTCGGAGTCGACCCAAAAACAAACGACACCGCCCCACCTACGGCCCTCCATGTTGCGCTACGACCCATCGGGCGCCGCAGCGTACACCATGCAAAAGCCCACGCCAGATCTCCTGGCATACGTAAGCCCCGTGGGGCCGCAGGTGGGGTGGTGTCGTTTGTTTTCTGGTCCGAGGAGAAAGGAGGAGGGGGAGGAGGAAAAACGAGACCAGGATCGGAGGACGGTCTGAGGACAAGCGCCCTTGCAAGACGCCCTCCCAGAACATGTCAAAAACCCAAAACCCATGCGGCTCGACATTTTCTTAAACTTCCGTGAGGAGGCCTCTCGTCGCCATTGCTGGATTCGCCTCGAAATTATGTTCAGACCTCGTCGGCTCGTCGGTCTCGTTCTTTCTCCTCCTCTATCCTCCTCTTCCTCCTCTTTTCTTTCCTCCTCCCCCTGCTAGCCTAACTCGGGGTCGGGCTCGTGCTGCTCGCGCTGCTGGCGGCGGCGGCGGCGGCGCTGAAGCTCTCCGACGCCGCCAAAAGCATGCGGACGAACTGGAAGCATCAGCCCGGCGCCACGCGTCCTCCGCGAGGACGACCGAGCCGAGGGACATCAGCAGCTCCCGAACGTCCGCCGAGGTGAACTCCTCCCGTGGAAAAGCGTCAATTGTAAACGCAAACTTTCGGAGGTCCGCTTGGATTTCTTGGATCGGCGGTGGACCACCCCCCTGGCGGCGCCTCCACCGCCACTGCTGGCGCGCTGCGCGAGCCAGGGAGGGATCCCAGGCGCCGATCCAAGAAATCCGCGCAGACCTCTGAAAGGTTACAGTTAGAAACACATGAGAATTCTATGCCCAACAGCAAACGTTGTCCAGAACCGACGGCGACCGCTGTCGGGCAGGCTACTTGTCGCCTCGAGTAGGCGACGCCGCGACGCCCGCGGCGACGCCGACAGCGCGTCCTGTCCAGAATTGACAAGATCTACTGTGGGCCTTGGGGGGTCCAGCTGAGCTGCGGGAACGCATTCCAGCACCGCCCTGCGAATGCCAGCTATGTCCTGGTCGGCCGAACCTGGCGGAGTCTCGTCATCGTCGTCGTCCTCGACGTCGTGGACGAGTCGTGGACGACGACGATGACGAGAACGAGGAGGGGAATAGGAAGAGGAGGATGAGGAGCCGTTCAGCTCGGCAATGAACGACACCACCGACACGCGCGTGAAGCGCATGGACGGCCATCGTGTGCACGGGAAGGCCGATTGCACGATGTGCCCGTGCTTGGCGAGGCACTGGGAGAGGTGGCGGACTCCTTCGTCCATCACGCTTGACCGCCAAAATGGCTGCGAACAGCGACGCTGGAAGGTGAAGGGCGGCTTCCCAGCCCAGGCCGCGACGCACGAAGTGCGAGTATCTTCGCGCCCCTGGGGGCGACCTAGAGATAACGGACGCCCTCCTCTCCTCTCCCTCTTCCTCCTCTTCCTCCTCCTCCTTCTCCTCCTCCTCGTCATCCTCCTCCTCCTACCCCGCTCCTCCCCCCCGCTGGGGCAGTGAGTGGAACTCCCTGCAGGGCGCGATCCGCGTGATGGGGTGCGTGCGAGTCGCGGAATTTTGTTGCTAACGTCATGTTTTTTGGCCACCTGGTCTCGTGGCTCTAGGACGCTGTGCGAGCTTTGATCGCGGCCGTCTGGGGGGCGAGGACAAGAATCACGCAGTGGCAACGAGTGCCCACCCCTCAGAGAATTCATGCAAACTTCTGCTTTAAGCTAAGCGCGCCACCAAAAAACAAAAAAAACCTTGCTCGATTGCTCACTTGGACAAAAATGTAGACAAACCATAACATAAGATGAGATGATGATGAAAAAAAAACATGCAATCCCACTACATGATCCCACATTTTTTTTTCTCTTCCCGAAGGCCGAGTTCACATATCGCGCGACGGCTTAAGGCCAGGCTACCAGGCGGCCAAAAATCAAAAAAAAAAATCACCTCTGAAACGGCGACGTTTCTGACGAAAGAATTCGACGCGGATGCACGTACTCACGAGTTACTCCCCTAAGTGTGTGTCCGTGTGTGCGCGCGTGTGTGTCTGTGGGTGTGCTCGCAAAGGCTTGTCTGCCATTGGAACTCCACGGGCCTCGTCGCGGGGGTTTGCATCTCTGGCCTCGTTGCAGAGTTGCGCGGGCATGGCCTGCTGCTGGGCTCGCCTGATCTGACACGCGTGCTTCCGATGGCTGTCTTCGCGCGACCGCGCGCGACCCTGCGTCTGTGCAGGGGCTCTTTCAGCAGGCGCGGGCGCGCCACCGCGTTGCTTTCCGCTTTCCACTTGCCCTCCGCGGAGTTCCCAGCGCGCGCGCGCGGTGGCTGCTCCGCGCAGATGGGCTTCGCGGACCAGTCGTTTTCCAAAATTCTGGCGCCCGCGAAGGGCTTTCCCTGCACCGGCGATTCCCGCGCGCGTGACATGGGCGGGCTCCCACTGGGCTCCGCGCGCGCGGATGCTGCTACTTCCATGGCAGCGTGCGGGCGCACGTACCATCCCCAGCGCTCCCGAGGACGCCCACGGGGACTCCTGCCGCGCGGACGCCGTCCTTGCCTGCGTGTTCTAAGCGCGCGTCCTCAATGTCTGCGCGGACCCCAGGCGGCAGACTCCCGTCTCGTTACGCGCGCGCCACGAAGTCAGGGAGTCCATGGTGAATCTCTCGCAAGGGCCCCTCGACCGTGCGACAGAGGGGCCGCCGGGCCACTCGCCTGCGACTGCCGCAGTGCCGCTGGGACACTCGGCGGGGGGCGCCTGCGCGACATTGCGGTCGCGGGAATCTGCTGAAGGCGTCTCCAAACGTTTCAAGGAGCGCTCCTCGCGAGAGGCTGCTCGCCGTCGGCCCCGCGCATGTGCGGGCGCTGCGCAGTTGGGCAGCGCGGAGCGCCGCAGCTCGCAGATGCCGCGTGCGTGCATTAGTCATGCCGCGCGCCGCGACTGATCTACACACGCGGCGCGAACGGTCTTCGCCGGACTGGCTCCGCGCGCGCACGCGTGTCCCGTTCGGTACTAATGGATGCGGATTCGCGCAAGTAGCACATGCATCATCCAAGCGGCTGCACCGCCTGGACCGGATGCGACGGGCAGCTTTGCGTCTTCAGAACTTGTACATGACATGGTTTACAGCCCGCGCGTCGTGGCCGTCGAGGGTGCTCCACCGAAGAGACTCCTCTTGCGCCGCCATGCGTCCCCTCCACAACTTTCATTATTTTCCCTCACACCTTTTCCCGGCATCACGGTGACTTGCACCGAAGGGCTTGGCGGCGCCGGCCGCATGCGCCCCCGTCGCCCATGGCGGAACTGCCCGCGCACGTTCCCCCGGCCCATGCAATGCGAAGGCTCCACTTCCCCCGCCCGCATGCGTCTCCGCAATCCTCTTCGGGACACTTATCACACGTCGCGTGGCCTCATGGGGACCTCCACCGAACAAGGGCCCACTGGCGTGACCCGCACGCGTTCCCGCCGACCATGCCACCACTCACCACACTCGTTCCTTCGGACCCTGGGGAGCTTTACAGAATCCCCCACTGGCAATGCCCGCGTGCGCTCCCGTTATCCAGTTCGGGACACCGCATGCACGTTCCATGGCCTCACGGATATCTCCACCGAAGGCCCCACTGGCGCCGCCCTCATGCGTCCCCGGTATTCAGGTCGGAACACCCCTCACACTTGTCGTGGCCCCATACCGAGCTCGACCGAGGATGTGCGTTGAGCGCGCCGACGTGGTGTTCTGGGCGCCGAGGACGGTTCCCACACACGGAGACGACTGGGCGCCTGGTGGCGGGATGTGCCTACAGCGCGCGCGAAGAAAGCGTGATGGTCTACTTCATATACCACGAGATGTGTCAACACGCTGGCACCACGAGGTGGCGGATTTGCTAGGCGGCTTGCTTGACTCCACCCAGCGTGTCTTCTACGATTTCAGAGCCGCACGTATAGTGTGTTGCACTTCGGCTACTGTTCGCTCATGCGCATTTCTTTCACCGTCTTCTTTCCCCAAACAGTTTGCTAGATTGGGGTGCAGTTGTGATGGTAGCTAGTTCCGCCCGAGGAAATCTCAAGCACAGCAGACATCCTCACCCAAATCTGTTGGTCCAGGCCGTTTCGCCTGACACATCCTTGCAAATCTTGTTTTAGAGTTGTCCGGGATTACGCGTTTCCTTACAGTCATCCTCGAAACCTTGGGTTTCAGCGGCCGTTCGAGAGATGGTCCAGGACGCTTAGCCTGAGCCACTCTCGCACCTCTGGGTTCCGAGGTGCCGCGAGAAAAGTGGTCCGGCCCGTTTCGCCTGAGGCATTCTCGCATCTCGGGGCTCCCAGTTCCCTTCCCACTGACTTGAGGTGGTCCACCCACGTCTGGCCCCCAGCTAGCACAGTGTCTTCTTCGGGCCTCTCTGCACATTTCTTCTTCCCGCGACAGTCTGCTCAAGTGGGTTGCCGTTGTGATGGTGGCTGGTTCCGGCCGAGGGGATACGAAGCAGATATATCCCCACATCAATCTGGAGGTCTG